GCGAGAACAGCGAGTGGAAGGGGTGAGGCAAGGACAGGGAAATAATGATGGAGTACCTCAAAATTTGATGCAAAAACGCATCATCGCACCGGCTCGCCTGGTGCGTTCCAGCCTGGGTTTTCTTTTTACTGAGCTTAACTGTGAGCAAAGAAAGTATTTTTAATCGTTAATTTTTTAAAAATTTATGAAATCATTCTTCGAAAGTTTACTAGCCAAATTACCAGCTACGGATAATTTTTTATTGCTAATTTAATTTTTTTTTTTTTGCAGGAGAAGTTGAATGATGCAAAACTTTTCGATTCAACAAATGTTATGTTGGTTTCAACGCATGGTTTGTACAAAGTGGACGGTGAAGAGCAATTTTATATTGAAGAATGCCTGGCCGATTATTCAAAGATTCAAAAAATTATTAACCGCCATGCAATGATGATGATTTTTGTGAATCCCGATGAGGTAGATGAAGTAAGTTATACTTCAATAGGTAGTACTGTAGTACTGTAGTGTAGTACTGTAAAGGTGAGACTGTGAAGAATGCCGTACTGTAAAGTAGTACTGTAAAGCATAAAGGAAGGAGTGAGACTGTAACGCTGAATTTGCTGCTGTAATAGAATTTGGAGAATTGGCTAACTGCAAATTTCTAAAAAGTTATGAAGTATACCTGAAATACCTGAAGCAGCTGCTAATTTATGATGTATTTATCATTTAGCGTTTAGCTACTTTTTAATCATTTAGCGGCCAGCATGCTAGCACCTTAACATTCGTTTCATCTTCGGAAAGGTTTGCCAGCTCGCTGTTTTACCAATAGAAGGCTTCAGCCACTTTGAGGGCACTTGTTGTGTATTGAGCAGTGTCAAAGCGTCCCGAGCATTGCAGTCCCAGGACCGAAGTGGTACCTTTTCGAATGGATAAGTACTACTGTAATTTTTTTCTAAAGTAAGCCAGGTTTTGATGAAAACTTGCTGTTTTTGCCAACAGTTTTTCTTTTCTGAAAATTCACAAGTGATTGTTTATTCAAGTGATATATTTTTCCAAAAAATTTGATATTTTTTCGACTTTATTCGAAAATGTTCTTTTTTAAAGGTATTTTTCGAATTGAAAGTGTGTGACCAGTGGGCACCAATGGGCGATTACGATGACAATGAACAGCCACTGGTCACTGTTTATAGAACAGCAGAGCTACCAGACCGATTTCACTGGAAGAATTTTCGGTATATGCCGGAAATTGTTCTACTTACTCGACCAGGTGCTACTGTCTTAACGGTATGCTATCTGTTTGCGTGTTTTTTGGCCCAGCGATGTTGCTGAAAATTCAGATTTTGTTTTTAAGAAAGTCGTTTCATATAGAAACGAATGAATGAATCGTAGATAGATTGTTTGTTTCACCAGCGAAACCAAACCTTCTACTTCAGTACGAGAGCACTGCTATTTGCTACCGCGCCATATCTGTTAGCAAAAAAACCGAAAACGACGTGAAAAGAACGGCATCTGTTTTTTCTGCTGTAATTTCCACATCATAACATCTACATAAAGCAACTTCGTATTCCAATTTATTTCCCGGGAAAACTTTTTCTCATAGGTTTACCCCAACTGTCTAAACTGAATAATAATAATAATAATAATAATAATAATAATAATAATAAACCGCTGCAGCGTGAATTGCCGTCAATACCCATTATTGATAGCTACGAACGAGATATCCGGGAAACTGGCGGATGGGATAACGAAAATATCAACATGCACGGGATATTTCTTGCCCGAGGACCCGGTAAGTTTGAGATTTAACATACATTACACATTACACAAAGCGAACGACAAATCCGTGTCTTAACAATCCAAAAATATGAAAACAAGTGCATCTTATTTTCTGCGCCATCCGATGAGCTTTAAACTGGAGTGCCGGTTAAAACACGTCGATTACTTTCGTCTTTACCCACTCAAACGTCCCTACAAAACAATTTACTTGCGAGACAAAAGACACGTAAATAAGTCGAGTGAAAAGAAGTTTGCCAACAACGGTCACTGTTCGCCAGGCTGGCGGTGGTTTCCTGCTTTGACGACTGGCTGTTTGATGGAAAAAGAAGCACAGCAATGTATGAAATTACCCTATCCAAGCAATACCGTCACATTTTGCACCACATGATCCTTCCACCAAAAAACCCAGGCTGGAACGCACCAGGCGGGCTGGTGTGATTATGCGTTTTTGCACTTTTCGTGCTGTAGCTAGATCGCAAGGAATCACAGAAGCTAACCCTGTGACATACTGGCCCTCGAAGTTCGGGAAGTTAATTGTGCAGCTGTGTGGTATGTCAGTTGTAGATGTCGACTTCATTGACCCGATAAATGGAAAGTTGCTGGTCCGCAAAAAAGGTCGCACTAGAGGAATTAAATTTGAAATCTTTTGGTCACACATGAGTAGGAAACATTCTCCGAAAGTTTCAGCTTTCTAACATTTCCCGTTCCTGGGTTAGTAATTTTCGCGCCGAAACTTCCATGCGCTCGTATGTGGGCTCGGGTGCTTCTAAACACCTGATTTTGCTCGTACATGAGTAGGGGACATTCCCCTAAAGCTTCAGCCTTCTAGCTTTCCAGCTCCCTGCTTAGCATCGCGCCAAAACTTTCACATGTAGCGTACGTGGGTCTTGGGCGCCTCCAAACAACTGATTTTGGTTGTACATGAGTAGGGAACATTTCCGTAAAATTTCAGCTTTCTAGCTTTTTTCGTTCCCGGGTTAGTGATTTTCGCGCCAAAATTTTCACACGCCTATACATAGGCCTCGAGCGCTTCTGAACACTTGATTTTGGTCGTACATGAGTAGGAAACATTCTCCGAAAGTTTCAGCTTTCTAGCTTTTCCCGTTCCCGGGTTAGTAATTTTTGCGCCAAAATTTCACGTGCCCGTACGTAAGCTCCGGGCGGTCCCGAGGAGCTGAGTTTAAAGCTTTTCTGTCATACGCGGGCAGAGAACATTACTCAACGGTTTCAGCTCTCTAGCTTTTCTCGTTCCCGAGTTATCAATTTTCCCGCCAAAACTTTCACGTGCTCGTACGCGAGGCCCCGACATGCATGAGAGTTGATACCGCGGTCCTGGGGTGGCACTTGGCTGGGGAACACACTGGCAAAATTTCAGTTTCAAAGCTTGCGTGGTTGGCGAGCTGAAATACCGGGACAGACGAACAAACACACACACACACAAAAACATGTATATATATATATATATATATATATACATATATATAAACACTGACAGGGTCGTTTCAATATGCGTTTTTGCTGCCCTTTGCAGCGCTGCACGGCAAAAACGCATAAAAATGCATGAACATGCTGATTCTTAGTGGGCGCTATCTTTGCCGACATAACTCCTAACTACTATTAAACCCAGGCTGGAACGTGCCAGGCTCTCCGGTGCGATCATGCGTTTTTGCACTAAACCCGCAGATCGCTACTAGCGAGAATGATCCCTACGTTGTGGCCTAACACTTGGGCTCATATTGGCCGTGCTTTGGTCCCTTCCGGCATGCAGGAGGAAAGGCGTCAGTTGGGATGAAGGTGGTGCATTATAGAGCCGCACGGACATCCAGGTGCATGATTACCGGTTTTTTGCATGAAGTCTGGTCGTTTTTTCGACAAATGCTCGCTTTGTGAAAAAATGACAAATGCAGATTTTTTGGAAAAATGGAAATGGAAATACACTAAAAAGTGGAAATATTGCTCGAGCGGTCGTTTGTCAAAAAATCCACGTTCATTAACATATACGATTGCGGTTCAGGTCTGAGCTGCGAACGATTTTTTTGAAAATATGCAAATTTTCAGTTCATTAGAAATTGAAAGTATTGCTCGAACGGTCGTTTTTCAAAAAATCCATGTTCATTTGCATATACAGT